AGGAGAAAATGGTTACTTTCTTAAAGAGTCGTCTCCCTTTATGAAAAGCCAGAAATATTAATTCAAAAATCGTCTCCACAGAAAGGAAAAATAGCTATCTCTTAAATATTTAAGGTTTACGTTCATCAAATTATGTACCCTTGATTATATAATATCATAAGATCCTACCCTTTTCTTTTCAGAATAGAAGTTGAGAAGAGTGGATCAGAAACTCAATTTTGAATCACATGAATACAAGTTAGAATTATAATTGTTTTGCCGAGAGTGTAAAGGGAAAATTGTTGGATTTCTGTCTGCCAATTTTCTTTGTCGACTTTGTTATATCCAGGAGGTGATTTTCCATTACAACTCAGCAGCAGCAAACCGTTTGTGAATGGTGGTGAATGGCACTTTGAAAAAGTTGTGTGTGGGCAGTGGGCGCTCCTAAAAACTCAAATCTTTCACCCCATGTTGTGAAGTTACTTGAAAATTTATTTACTCAGATCATTTTTCTCCAATATTGATTTCACTTAACTTACTGCTACTACCTTCTCATTGTATATGTTTTAACAGCTTTGAAATTACTGAAATTTAGCAGCTCTTTGTTAGCCTGCTAATTAATTGAGCCCTTTTTTCCCCATAGTTCGATGATGGAAATGTAAAAGCTCTACCTGTAAAAGTGTTTTCAAATAGAGATTCTCTGTTTTCTAGAAAAACCTGTCGGAAATCTTTGAGAAATCTTCGATATCGAACTCGGAAAATCAACCAAACAAACACCAATCAACTGGCTCAACCCAACAACCCTTCACACCTTCGGTTGCCTCAGTTTTACCCCCACAAAGGAGACACTTGGTGGTGGTATGTGCAAGCTACAAATGAAGGAAGGAGAAGAAGAAAACAATGGTTGAATCTCTCTCGAATCCACCCCAAAACCGGCTGCCCTTTCACTCCTCTCTCGGCTCCCTCTCTCAGCTCTCCCCTCTTGCAAAATACACACACACAATGAAGAAAACACACGGCCATGTGTATATAGGCATTAGGTCTAGTTTTGGGCCAAGACTCACTCATAATAAGCCAAGTTAATGGGCTAACAATAACGAAATCCATACATTCAACAAAGGGGTACTTACAAAAATACCCTTAAAATTAAGGGTGTTTTGAAAAATCATGTGAAAGGTTTTTGGAAAGTAAAAAATACTGTGTAAAATGAAAAAAGTGACACAATGTCACTTTTTTATAAAAATTGTCACTTTTTTGAAAAATGACATAAACTCAAAAAAAGTGACATAAACTTAAAAAAATGTGACATAAAAAAGTAAAAAAGTGACATAATTCAAAAATTGGG